TAGAAATACAGTCAGAAATGAATCATGGGAGAGTGCAGCTCATTCAAATGCCAAGTGTTTGTGTCGCTTGGCTCTTTCTGCTCGTGGTAATTTGAAGAGCCCTGGTCACGCCGCAGCCTAGGGCTGATGGATCTGCCTGGGCAGGGACCGTGGGGATGGAGCCTGGGATTTTCTAGATGCCCAAACCATTTTCTTTTGTGCGTTTGTCCTTATGTCGAGCATGAAACACGCTTTACCTGGAACTTGTCAAGTGCTGGGGGGAAACCTCTCTATGGAAAAGCAGAGAAATCCCAAGAGTTTGCCTCTGGCGTCCTTTATTTTGCCTTCTCCTGAGCCTGTTCTAAAGCTCCAACCGCCCAAAATGTCCTGCTGGGGCTTTCCACCCCTCTGCACAACCAAAACCTTACTCCTGTGTTGCTCGGGGCTGTGCAGCACCTGTCCATGAGCGTAGGCAAGTCGGGAACAAGATGCTCTTGGTCAAAATCGTTACGTGCCGAGCTGAACGTATGGGGACTGCAAATCTCTGTACGCTTAATAACGTAATGGCCTGGGTGTTTGCATTTCTGGCACCCTCGAGGACGGCTTCTCCTCGCTTGATTTGATAATGCTGTCTTGTACCTGAACTGTTTGTGGAGGTTGAAGCAAGGGCACGGGACTCTGGTGAAGGTCAGGAAGGCTTTCCAAGCCCGAATAATTGTCAACATTATCCAGTTATACAGGAGGAGGTGACTGCCGGCTCGGGACTCTGCTGCGGGTGCCCCACCACTGGTTTAGAGGCTATTGCCTTAAATCTTAGGAATTTGTGACAGTCGGGGAAAGCTCAGCCACGTGCATGTTCTGGCTCACTCTTAACTGAGATTGGGATATACCGAGGGGCTGGTCTGCAGCCAGAGCTAACAACCGACCGTCCTTGCTGAAAGTGGATTCCTGAAACGCTGATAGTCCAGGGCCTTATCCTGGTATGAAATCACTGCCCTCGTTGTCTGCAGGACAATCCCTGCTCCGACCCAGGCTCTCTTACAGTTGTCTTTGAAGATGTCTTTTGTTTCAGTAAGAATGAATCATCCCATGCGGAAATTCAGAAATCTGATGACTACAGGCTTCGGAGCGAGGTGGCCGAGGAGTTTCAGTCCCCATTGCTCGGGGAAGAAATGCACTGCAGAGTACTTAAAAAATGAGACTTGATTAAGGATCCACGGCGTGGAGCTCATCCTCAGGTGACAGTAACTGTTTTTTGGATTTCTAGAGGTCGTGTGAGCTTTAGCTACTGATGTCGAAGTGCCAATACACGGGCAGTGGCAGCAACTGGGCAGGCTGGGCAGGGGTTTGGGCTGGCAGCGGCCACTTCTGCAGCTGGGGAAGATGCCCCAGCGCTGGGTTTGCGGTGACGGGAGCCCCGCGGGGGCTGCCAGCCCCTCCAGACCACAGCCGATGGCTTGGATCTAGCAGGAAGAAGTGGGAACGGGATGAAGATGCGATGCTCCCTGGAGGCTGACAGCAGGTAGGTCTGAGAGAAGGCCCGCGATGCTTTCCCGGTGCCCAAAGGGGCCGGAGCAGCAGGCTCTCCCTTGGTGTCCCAGCTCCTGCTCTCTTCTGCTTTTGCAAATAATTCCTCCCACCTCCCTGGGCGGCGCTGGGAAAGCTCTCCTCCTCCCTCCTGCTCCGCTGCGCGCTGACGAACGCTTCCTTCGCCGCCGCCACGTGAAGCGATGGCCCCGCGCACCCCGCGGCTTCGCTTGCGGCGGCCCTCGCCCTTCTTCCCGGCGAGGCTCTGGCAGCAGCAGCCCCCGAGGATTGAAATCCTCAGCTGCTGTTCCGCTTCATGCATTGGGCAAGGGGGTGGTGGTGGTGGGGATTAATGCTGTCGGGGAGGGAGCAGAGGGTGGGAAACGGGCTGGAGTCGGAGTAGGTGTGTCTGTGGTTCGGGAGCTGCAGTTATCGCTCCCCTTTTCATTGGAAAATCGGGCTGCTTTTTCTCTCTGAGAATCTCCCATCAACTCTTACTGGTGCTTCTCCGAACGTGTTCTGACTGCTGATCTCTTCAGCACAGGGGCTCTCGCGCGGTCCAGGTAACGTCACCGTCTGATTTCTCCGTTCTCAGCCAGTTGTTGCCTCTGCTGGTTTTGCTCCTCCTGCCCAGAGCCGACAAAAATCCGGTGAAGAACTTTTTGGCAAGACTTTTTAACGCTTTCTGGTCGGACTTTTGGGTTTTTTCCATTACACTTGGCACTCACCAAACGTGTGCGGAGAAGGGAGGCGGCAGCGGAGGTGGCATCAGGCGAGCGTTTCACCCTGGGCATCCTCCCGTGAGCGACCACTGCCGGTCCTCGCTCCGAGCATCCCTGCAGGTCGCCTTTGCTGTGGCTGCTAACGGCGCCGTGATTTCTCCAGCGCTGCTCAGATGCTGGCTGCTGCTGGGCGACGAGGTTTTGGTTTCCATGCTGAGCCCTTACAGATGCTGCAGAACATCTGGAGTGGCCACAGCTGGCTGAAGCAGGTAGGGTGATGGAGCCCGGCCGTGGGTCCGAGCGGGCAGGGTGATGTGGCACGTGGCACGTGCCCGGCGCTTGCCAGGGCACCCGGAGAAGCAGCCGACCGCTGCACAAATCCTGCTGCAGTTTCAGCTCCGTTTCAGCACCAAATTCCCCTTTTGGTGTTTGAAAGCCTCCGGGAAGGGATGGGAAAGTCGGGTTCTGGGAACCTCGCTACAGGTCAAAAAGCAGCAGTGCATAATTTCTAAAAAATGCACTAAATTGGTAAGAATTTCTAATAATTTTTTGCCGTGAGGGGGGTTGAGCTCCCAACGGAGGGTCCCTGAGTGCGGAGCCGGTGCTGC